TGTGACTATATGAGATTTCAGGGGCATCTTATAAATCAGAATGGTTGTGTTTTACACCCACTTTTCTCTCATTTTGTAGTAGCATAAATGAATATTCCAGGTGCAGGGCAACAACTCCTTATAGAAGTCTGTCATAAGTACTTCTTTATAATAGAGATACTGTATACGCAAACTGAAAATCTAGTTAAAGTAATAATAAAAAGAAAAGGTTTCTCTAATTTGCAAGGTTTCCCCGTCACATTCACAAGCACAGTTCCCTGATTGTACATGTCAGCTGCAAGGTATAATAATTTTAAATGCAACATATTTTTGCAATACACAAATTACTGGGAGATCTGTGAAACTGTTTAACTTAGTGAGATGGAAGCAGAATTTTGGGCTGTCAAGCAGTAGGCTGAAACACTGGCAACTTTTTGCTCAGAGTGGGGGTGAAGTGGGTGGAAAACTTGCTCATCCAAAAGAAATTACCCTTTTAAGCGTGGCTTCTCATCTTCAATTGAGTCACGCTTGTTTCTATGCTGATCACTCTCAATATCGATGTATGCGTCCTCCTGGAAAACAGATGCATAAAAACAGAGAATGTATTTGGAGTCATGTTCCAAAGAGAAAATCTTCTTAAAGACAGATGGTTGCACAGGGCAGAAATTGCGTTTAATGGGTAGCTGAATCAAAACCAGCATGTGGTCTCAATGGGAACTCTCAAGAGCAACATCTCATTCTGTGTACCCTGTTCAAGTCTTTCTCTCTCCCTTTCACTTTGCATATACAGCTCCTGCTCTGCTGTCTGGTATTAGTGCTGTTATTAAAATCAGGCAAACCCAGTAGTTATCAAGGGATGAGCATTTTGAATTATTAACCTTCCCAAAGCCCGCCACATTAAGAAAAATAGGAGGTAAAGAAAAAGTTTTAGTCTGTCCCCCTGAGCATCATTAGAAATAGAAAAAAGTCAAATGCAAAATCATCTTGCATAGATGATTAAAAGTGAATATTATAGGCATGGCAGGTAGCACTGCCTATTGTTAAGACTGCCTGACACTTCTCACTATAAAACCTCATTTTTACTTGGTTCATAACTTTGCCAAACTTGAAGTAATTAGGCTGAGACTTTCCGTTTGGTGCATGCCCAACACTGGTTTTTATTTGAAATTTCGGCCAAGCAGTTCAGCCTGAGGACAAGCTACGGAAAAGAAAATAGGTTGTTTTGTTCTTGCTAAAAAATTCTGGTGACTGTTTCTTTGAAAAGCTCAAGTCTTTCGGTTTTGGACCAGGGACTTGAAATTTGGCAGGAAGATGGCTTTTATGTCAGGAGTGCACCTTGTGCCAACTCTCTAGTAATCTACCCAAAACCTTTGACAATTTGCACTTCACATATGCTCAGTAGAGACTTCTAAGATTTTAGCTGCTGTACTGCCTGAGGATTCAATCTTACTCAGCATACTCACACGTCTCATAATTTTTATACTGATCAAACCCACAGAGAGAGAGACTACATCCTCCATTTGCCCATAGCACCTACATGTAAGCAGATGGCACATGGAACATCTCCACGGGCACTTGTACATGGGATGGGGGTTTAGTCCTTGCAGCTGTATTATGCCCCCTAAATTGAGACGGTGGGTTTTTTAATTGAAACCCACTATTTCAATTTAGGGGTTTCTATCACTGTGAGGGGCCTGATCCTTTTTTAACTTTTTTTTTCAGTGGAGCCAGCCTGTGACCGTGGGGTGAGCTGCTAGCAGGCCAAGCAGCCCCTGAGCTGCAGGGGGCCCCAAGTCTTCCCTCTGGCAGTGGTGCACCCTGGGGCTGCCTGGGTGGGCTGCTAGTGGGTGGGATGTTTCCCCAGCTTGGAGGCAGCACTTGGTCCTATCCAACTTTTCTCTGACCCTGAGGAGGGGCAGCACCCAGCCTGCTAGCAGCCCACCTGGGTGGCCCCAGGGGGTACTGCCACCACAGGGGGAAGGACCAGGGCCCTGCAGCTCAGAGGCTGCTTGGCCCACCAGTAGCTCACCCCCCAGCTGTGGGAGATGTGGGCAGGCTCTGCCAAGAAAAAAAAAAGGATTGGGCCCCTCACCACTTCTGCCTGCTGAACGTACCCATCTCATCTGCAGCCAGGAGGTGAGCAAATAGCTGCAACGCACTGTAGGATGTAGTTTAATTTGCAATGATGCAAACTCATTGAAAACCCCCAAAACTCCTGCCTGTGTACACTGCAATACCGTTAAGCCACACAAAGTGTCATTTTCAGCACATGTACATGGTGAAGGCATCACACATACAAGTGTCCCACAGAGTGATGGTAGGGATGCTTCACCTTAGAGTTCTGGATTCAGCAGCAGGACTTTCCCTGTAATGTCTGCTATCAACTTCTGGAACACACCCCTTCTGCCCTTCTGTTTCCTGAGGGACCCTCCTTCTGGTGCCCAGGCAGTGTGGATGAGAGAGTCAACTGATTTGAACGTAGGACAGACAAAAGCTGGAGCAGAGGGAAGAGACTGGTACAAGGAGTTGGGTGACATTGGAAATGAAAGTATGTTGACAACCTTTGCGTGCGAGCTGGAAAAGGAATGCTGGAACGGCTAGACAAGTGACCTTGTGAGCCGAGGAGGAAGGAAGTCAAGTAGACTAAGGCAGGAAGCTGCTAAAGGAAGCATGAGGGAGGGATGGAGAAACTGGAGCCAGTTTGCTCTGGGAGAAAGTCTGGTACCAGGTGAAGAACAGTGGTAGGGGCGTGGGGGAATAAGGGAGATGCTCTGAGTGGATGGGCAAAGCAACTGGGGCATAGGAAGCAAAGGAAGGAGAGATGGGGCCGGTGTACAAGGGAAACTGGGAGGCAGGGATGAGAGAGAGAGAGAGAGAGAGATAGGTAGAGAAAGGCTGACAAATGAACTTGGGAGAGACAAGAATGGAATTAAATGAAGAGCTCAGGAAAGTTAGACGGGGACTGAGAGCCAGTGGGAGGGGGACTAGGAGAGAGAAAGACTGCACAAAGTGCTAGCTAGGAGGTGGAAACTGAAGTTGGATGAGCAAGGAAGGGAGATTAGCAGGGCGTTTTGGGGCAGATTAGTACTCAAACAGCAAGCCCAAAGAAGGAAGCTACTACTGGCTAGACAAGGAGACTGGGGTAGTCAGGTAAATCCGGAAGTTACATCATATAGCTACTGAGGGATCAGATTTTGATCCCCTTTCCAGACACCACTAAATTAAAAAAAATGGGAGATAAAGAAATAGTTTCAGTCTCTTCCCTCAGTGTCATTCAGTTTAAGATAGAGCACAAGATTCAAATCCTGCTGCTGACCAGATGAGGTCAAGATGATGCCACAAAATAAAATTTTTGGCATTTTTCAGAATTTTTTTAACATAGGAAACCACATACTAGGTTACAGAGTCAGGGCCCCTGCCAGGGGGGTGCGGCCTTCCCGGGGCTTGTCTGAGGCCT